CTTGCAGTGAACGCATTCTCTTTCTCTGGGAAGCATTTGGGGCGGGGGTTCGTTGCTTTAGGAGCCGACCCTGTTATCGACCTGGAGTGGACCGTTCTGCGGGGGGGTACATGCCGATTCGGTGCAGACGGCCCGACTTCTGAGATTCGAGTCTTGTGCTCAGACGAGGAGGAGGAGTACCCCAGACCACTTCCTAGAGGGAGAGGCATGCAACACTTCAAGCAATGCACCTGATGAAGAGTCATCTGCAAAGCAGCCTGTCATCCAAGAAGATTGAGAATGTGTGGAGACGGGTGTGTGCGTGCACAATCTTAAGTCGGCAGTAGGATGGAATAGATGACTTTGGCAGCCTGTCTCATCAAGTCAAAACTAAGGCAGTCCGACTACCTTGTTGGCTGCATCAATGCTATTGTCGGTAGCCAACTTCTTGTTGGCCGTTGTATGATTGTTTTGTGAAGTTCGACCCAGGGTGGTCAAATTTTATTTTGATCTTGTGATATTGGATGTATCAAATAAAGATTTTGGTTCTCCCAATTTTTACTTTGGATTGGATATATAGTTTTATCGACTACGATCGATTCCTTTTGATGTAAATATCTATGGATGTTATAATTTTTGTTTGACTGTGTGTCTAAGGGACTAGGATTAATGTTGGGTTTCACGCATGGTTAAGACCGTCCTAGTCGACCGACGTTTGCTTCGTACTTAGGAGATCAGCGCCCTAAGGGACGGGCGACGTTTGGGTCCACTTGGCGCTTAACCAAGCGTATGTATACTACAGCGAACGAGCAAACGCCCTCGGCTGACCTACCTCTGCAATTGCACCTAAAAGCTTTTGCACGTGGGTCAGTTGCTCGGTAGGGATACGCCCCTAAGGGTGGTGACAACCCCTTGGGGAAGGAAAGCTTATGCCCCGCAGGAACCTATTCTGTCGTAGGGGACCGCGGGAAGTACAGTTGGCGCACCCGGCTAGAGCGGCGAAGGGACGACGCTACCACGACCATCTCGGCGGTTCGCGGAATTGCTTCGACGTCATCCCCAAGTTGTCTCTGTTTTTGTTTCCTTTAACTCCTGCATGACACGGCCGGGAGTGTTCTCGCGCTTTGCAAAAAGGCAGGAGCCGATGCGCTCGACACCGGCTCCTCGTCCAAAATACTTCGGCCATTTTTTCGGTTCAGTAGAGTCTTCCAGATGGGGCCAGAATCTCTCTGAAATACGAGGCCGAGCCTAGGGTGGCCTGCCTCACTGCATTTGAGCCTTACCGCTCGTTGGCCGACACCACATCCACAACACCCCAGCAGGAGGAGGACGAGTAGGCCACTGAAATGCGAGGTGATGCATTCTGTTGTGCCAATCTCGAGTTTGCCATGTGAGCACCAGGAGGACGAGGAGGAGTAGGACTCAACATAGATGAGGCAGCGGACGACTTGCAGGGGAGGTCTCTCGTCAATAGGGATGTAGGAGGTGGTCAATGATAAAAAGAAATAGAAAAATTAATCCCACGAGGTATCGTGTACATCCTTGATTGAAAACCTGATTAAGCGCACTATCTTTCTACATGGGAAGTATCTTGTCAATTGGGCTCCATCAGGTGGTAGGGGATGCAAAGACAACTGCATTCACCGTCAGATCCTGATCTTCTAAGATTTCAACATAAAAAAATACAAGTAATCCCACTCGGTACCTCTGACGCCCTCGATCCAAAACCTAGTAAGGGGACTGGCTTTCGACAGGGGACCTTTCTCGTTAATCGGGCTTCATGTGGTGATACGCAATAAAAAGGTGACCCTATTCACCATTCAGATCTCAATTCTACAAAGGTTTCACTGTTGAAAGTTAGAAAACAAAATTTATGCAATGTCATGGCGAACAGAGGCAAACGTTTTTTTCCCTTTTTTCCCCCCATAAAGCAGGTCCTTATTGCCCTGACTCCATTTCCATTCTGGGAAGCATCAGCCTGGTTCCTTTGTTTTTTGTTTTTTTTTTCAAAAATACAGAACCTTAAGGTTCTGGCTCCTTTTCCATTCTGGGGAGCATCAGTCCGGTTCCTATTCCACCGGCAAGTCAGAAAGAGTTACAATGGGTACTCGCACACGCTCCTCCCCCTTATGGTAGGAAGGCCCGAAGGATGGCGTTGATTACTTCGCAACGGAAGGATGTACCACCCTTCACCCCTGCCTAAGTCAGCCTGTTTGACGTATTCTTGGGCTTGGAAGGCCTCTCAGACTTATGGACTTCGTAATGTACTAGCTGACGGCATGTCTATCTAGGCTGGCTCTAGTTTTTTCTCTCAGCTGTAAGGCTGTCAGATCTGTGTGGATCGTTGGTAGAAGCTAGTTCGGCCTTCATCTGGGTCCTTTACTTTGATCCTAGTCGTAACTTTCTAGGCGCTGTAGTATTCTTTACCCTAAGACTGTGTTTTAGCCCTCAGATTTAAATGAGTTGCTTTTCCTTGAAAGGCCTTCCACGATTCAGACCCCTAATTCGGATCTCAGGGTCAGAGGCCTGGACAAGAGATGCCAAGTTCGTCAATGGGGTACCTCAGCAGTCCAGTCCAACAGGCACCCAGCAAACAGTCACATCTTAGGGGCAAGAGTCACGTCTCATATTGAAGAGTCATATTGAAGAGTCACATCCCATGGGTAAAAGGGTGGTCCCACAGGCGGGAGTCGTGTCCCAGAGACAGGAGTCACATCCCACAGTCAAAAGTCATGTTCACAAGTGTAAAGTCATGACTCAAAGGCCCAAACAGAAGCAGACCTATGTAAATCCGGGAAGGTTCCAGGCCTTGACATTCAGAAGCGGACAGGCCGTGCGGACGTGGCACCGGAACCAGTCAAGCCCTAAGAAGCAGAGGCTGGCACGAGTTGAAATGCAACCCAAGACTACATTCAGGCAGATTGCTCGTTCGCAAGAAGTGTGGAAGTGCTAGTGCACTTGTGCGCTGATGTGAGGGGCAGAGCGCTGAAGCCAGAGTGCTGCGCTAAGAGAGAGAGAGAGAGAGAGGAAGACAGCGCTGGCAAGGAGAAGGCAGCCATAGCTGCGCCAGCGCAGGGTGTTAATGTTACCAGATAGTAGTAGACCAAAGAGGGGTTAATAGAGTTGACAGTGGGTGTATTCAGAGTAGATCCTTGAAAAAGAAGTGAGTTCGCACACATGTAGGGAGAGAAGATACAGAGAGGACATAGCTAGGGAGAAGACCAAGAGAAGAGATTCAGAAGAGAGAAGAGCAGTGAGGAAGAGATACTTACCTGAGAGCTTATGCTGGTTACTAGTTACCTTTTGTATGCGCTGATGAGCGCTGGTGACTTGAACTCTTCTTGCTCTTGTATTACTTTTTGGTAATGATAAGCTGCGCTACCTGGTCTTCATCTCTCTGGTCTCCAGTGTGACTTTCGTGTGATCTCATACATGCATGTGGTGTGAATATGAGTGCTCACTGGTGTTGAACTAGGAGGTTCATTGCATCCTCAACAGCTAAACCCTAAACCCTTGTCTATTTTCTACTCCGGGGGGGGGGCTATAATCTCGGGGGAGGGGGTATAGCCCCGTGGGAAGGTTGTTCGGTGCAAGGGGAGCGTGGTAGATGGGGAAAAACGAAGTGGGGGTGGTAGAATTTATCGAGTGGGGTGGAAGGTGCACGGGTGGGGGGAGCTGGAGGGTGTGTAAGGTATGTGTTTTGTTGCTTAGAGGTTTGGCTCTGGATACAAGGGAGGTATCTGGTTTAGTAACACTTGTGCTGTTGACTGTGGAGTTACTGGGTGATTAGTAGGTGATGTTAACGACTTTCTGGGTGTTTTGGATTTAGATCGTGTCATCTGCTCTATCTTGTAGACTGTGGGTTTTTTTCTGGGGTGGTGGTCTGTGGGCTTACCGTGTTGATGGTCGGTCTTTGGAGGTGATGGGATGTCATGGGGAACCAGTCATTCATTACGAGTCTGTTTCCTTCTATGGTGCCTGGATTTCCTCCGAGCTTGGATGTGGCAAATCTTTTGATAATTTCTGGTACTTCGTTACATGCCCAGTTGGGCGATGTACGTAGAGCCAAGGATCCGCAATGTGATGAAAAGGACTGAATGGACAATGCAATGTCAGTTGAGCATCAACAAGCAATGTACACCCTGATACATACAAAATGGCACATAGTAGTGCAACGGAAAACTTTAAGATGACCTGACCGGGACTGACACGACATCCCATCATACATCACACATGTGAGAGGAGGAGGAGGGACCGCACACAAGAAGAAAGGTCCCTCCTTGTACACACACATGGGGAGGTACCACAGACGAGAGATGGAAGGGAGCGAGAGACAAAGATGGAGGTAAGTCGCAATAGCGAAGTCCAAAAATAGTCGCTTGCCGATGTCCAATCACTGCCTGTCTCAAAAATCTCGAATCAGATCCTGGGCGACATGCCCACGGTAAAGTCTGCCTATATCCTCCGCCTGTAACCACAGGGGGGGGGGGGAGACGAGGAGACCGTCCTCCCTACTATCTCACCTGCAGGAATTCCGTCGTCACTGACTACCGTGTGGTTGCTGTCTTGTGCAGGTCGCGGGGGGAGTCCCAGCTAGGGTGCCAGGTAGGTCCACCGTCTGCGGGTATGGCCTAGGCCCTCTCCTACCTACTCCACTATCTCTAGTTAGCAGTGAAGTGCAGCGCGAAGCTGCAGCGCCGGTCCAGCAGCGTGTCGCTCAAGAAATGAGCTGCTTGAACTGTCCCTGGCCCAGCCACTGCCCAGCTATATGTAGCGCCGGGCGGATGGACCTACCTGGTGCTGGCCTCAGAAATGGTCCAGCTGGTCTGGGTCCCTACCGGACGTCCAGACCATGCTGCTGATGCAGCAGGCACAAAAATGTGCCAGGCCTAGATCAGGCCCTGTTCCTGTGCACCTGGCCCAAGGCGCTGCCTTGGTGCCTCAGGTCCGAAACGGTACCGGTACCGTTGAGTCAGGCGCCAAAACGCACCTGGTTTCGGGAGGGCCTCGTGTCTCTGTACCTGGCCCAAGGTGTTGCCTTTAGTTCTGCAAGTCCGAAATGTCGTCTGCACAGACAAGGGACAAGGCAACGGTCAGTAAATAAATAAATACTTCCGCCTTTATGTGAAATCTGCGGCCTGGGGGCCGCCGTGGGCCTCCAGGGCGCATGTCTGATGGCATGCGGCCTGGGGGCCCCTCAACAACCGTCGGGCCCCTTGAAATGGGCCCGTGTGCAGGCGCAACATGTACCCCCCCCCCCCCTCCCTTATGAAGTCAAGCCGGGTCAAGGGCGAAGCTGACGATCTGAAGATGGAACCTGGACGCGGGTGCGACGTGCAGCCGAAGATACCGGCTTGCCTTGCATCTTGCGTTCGTAGCATGCGAGAACATCCGGAGGTGTTGCTTGGAGTTCCGGACAGGTCAACCAACGGTCAGTTTTGTGGGTGCAGTACGCAAAGTGTACCAAGTATTCGGTCGGTCTGTTGCCGTAGCGTCATTGGGAGATGATGTCGCTGACCTCTTGAAAACCGTCCATAGAGGGTGGGTCTTGCGATCATCGCCCAGGAACGTCGTCATGTTCTGCTGGTGTGTAAAGAGCCAACTTGGAGCAATGAAAGACCGGGTAGACGGACAAGTGGGCGGGCACCTGAATGATGAAGGAAGGTCCTTCGGGTGCATCCTCAGCGGGTGCCACGATCGGCCAGGGCCCCATCCATTTCGGGAGGAGCTTGCGAGAGATATCTTGTTCGAGGCTGAACTCCGCAGCGGAAACCCAAACGAGATCGTCGGCGCGGAGTGGACAAGGAAGACGTTGGTGATTGGCATGTTGGCTCATGCGTTGCTGCGACTTAGCCGTCTAGTCGTGTGCCTTGACAAGTAGCTCTTGCATCCGACGCAAGAAGAGAAGATGGTCGTCGCTCTCGGCCGCTCGTGGGATGATTGTGTCCAACGGAGAAGTGACCGGCGAGCCGTGCTCGAACTCGAAGGGCGACATCCCGATAGTCGGGTGGATGGACGAGTTATTTGCCAACTCGACATCCGGCAGCCGCTCAACCCAATCCTTTTGGTCGGGACGGATGAGAGTGCGAAGGGGAGAGCCTGGGCGGTCTGATGCGCCCTCTCCATTTGGTCATCGGTTTGGGGGTGGCGAGTCGAACTTGGCTTGAGAGATGAGCCCCATCGTTTGATGAGCACCAACCAAAAACCGGACATGAACCGAGTGAGCGGTCGCAGACGATTTCCTTGGGATAACCCGTGGTTCAAATTCAACTGGCGTAAAGAACCTCGGCCAACTTTGGTGCCTTGGCATGATAGCGGCAAGGCAAAAACATGGCGAACTTGGTGAGTCGGTCGACCACCGTTAGAATCTCATCCACACCGGTCTTGTGCTTGGAGAACAGCCCGGTAATGTCCATGGCAATCGCTTCCCTTCGGCGCAAGGGGACCGGTAATGGTCGCAACTCGTTGTACGGACGATGATTGCGGGATTTGCAGCGTCGGCAAACCTCGCATGACTCGCAATAGCGCATGACGTGGCCGAGAAGGCCGGGCCACCAAAAGCGCTCGCGAAGTCAGGCAATCATTCGATTGACTCCAAAGTGTCTGGTGGCGGGAGTATCATGGAACTCGCCATGAAGCCGTGTACGCAAGTGAGAGTCCCGTGGTACGCAAAGAAGGTCCTTGTCCCGCGTGTGGACAAGCAAGTACCCCTCTTGGATCCAGTAGTGCGAAGGCGCCGGATTAGGAGAGGAGCGATTCTCGTACTTGTCGCGAAACTCGGGGTCGGCTTGGTAGCTGCGGATGAAGCTGTCCCGCAGGTCGTCGTCGATCTCGAAGGTCGAATAGACTACGGTACAATGATCCCGACGCTGTGAAAGAGGATCCACAAAACGGTTAGACTTCCCCGGAATGTGATCGGGAAAGAAGTCGAATTGGTCGATGAAAGCCATCCAACGGGCGATCGTGCTATTGACGGTGTCTTGGGTCTTGTAGAAGACCAATGGATTGTTGTCCGTTACCCATCGGAATTGTCTTCAACCAACGAGGAAGTGCCGCCACCGCTTAAGCGCGTGGACAAAGGCTAGGAGCTCCTTCTTGCGTGCATCATCAATGGAGTGCACGATGTGCACTTTCTAAGTCACAAGTTTAGCCAAAGAAATTTCCTGATCTTCCCCTTCGTTGTTGTTTTTTTTTAACAAAAATCACCCCCCTGCAATGCTAGAGGTGTTGATAAGAGCAGACGCCGCTAGCACCCGGGGAGGGGCTCCATCTATTGGTGGGGAGCATCACCTGCTGGAAAACGGGTCCAACGTCCCATTGCAGATTGAAAATAAGATGAGAACAGGCTGAATCAGAAGAGATAGTTGTGAACCCTGCAGCATTGATTACTCTGGCAACCAGAGGATTGACTGAGCAGGTTGCTAAGGGAGGGGAGAGAACCTCTTCGCCCCAGTACCAGGCGTCGGATGTCCATCGCTAAAGAACTAGTTCCTCCCACCCTCCTTAGAATTTTGGAAATTGAGATACCGGGGCCATTAATCGGCTTTGGCTCAGAGAAATTGGAGCTACTTCAGACATGTCTATGACAACTTCATGATTAAGCAAAATTCAGAAACGACTCAGAAACCCCCCCATCAAACCACTTTACCCCACTCCGGCAAGACTGACTGCAGCGGAGCCACCATCTCTGTTGCTGCTATGCCATGCTCCCATCCTACCAGCTAGCCCCCTCACTGGTAGGACGCGTGATAACCCACCATCTTCTCCCACTCACCTTATTTTCTTTTTGAGGTACCTAAAAACTCTTACCCTTCCAAGGTTCAAGAAGCATGAGAATAGGCCACAAAGGTCCTACGATTGTTCCAAAAAACTCGAAATCCCACACAAACCCTTCCAACGTTCTTCAAAACTGTCGTACTCCCTGCCGATCTCTTCTAGGTCTCACACCCTCACTTTCTGTTGGGTTACAGGGCAACGCGACTCACCCCAGCTCCGACCAGCGTCGTCTCGACAGCAACCCTTGGTTGTCCCGTGGAAAGTCCACCCCAGGACATCCTCAGATCTCTCTACCAGACCTCACGCTCCTGCATCGCAGGTTACAGGGCAACACCCCAGCACCGGTCAAAGTCGTTCTGGCATCGAACAACCGCAGATCACTGAGTATAACAGCATTGAAGCCACCTAAGACAAGTTAGTAGGGATCCCAGAGTCCTAAAAAACATTCCTAGGACCACTAAGCACCCAACTCTTTTTGGAACATTCGAAAAACTTTAGAAAATTCGTAAGAGCGGGGGGGGCCAAAACTAAATCTGCATACTATCCTAGATCCCCCCTTCCAACAGATGGGGCGTCGGTCCAGGCTTTCAGTCCTCGTACCAGAACTCACTTGATCTTATACCCCCTTCTGCTAGGGTAACAGGGCACCACAACCCTCCCCAATACCGATCAACCTAGCTCTGACGGACAGGAAGTGCCTTCCTACCTCGACAATTCCCTTAGCAGCAAGCCCCTAAGCAGGTTACAGGGTCAATACCCCGACGCCAACTACGTCGGACGATCTGGTTATGCCTTCCACCATCAACATAACTTCCCAGGCCTCAAGCTCCCCCTGGGTTACAGAGCAAAGGCTCCAACACCGGCCTGTGTCGTCCCAGCATCGTCCTTCTAACCTACTTACCCTAACAAACAAACCTTTCTGTTGAAAATCCCCTTGCTACCTTCCTTCCTTCAAATCTGGTTCCCCCCCCCTTCGGCTCACTGTGTAGCCATCGAAGTCACTCCTTCCCTCAAAAAACAAAACCTAACACTCTGCTATAAGCAGCCACCCCCTTGCCTTCTCTCCCCACCTGCCAATACTGATCCGACCCTAAATCAGTCTGGCTAAGAGGCGACAATCCCCCAATACCGCCTCCCCCCTCCAAGAATAACACCTCCCACCTTGTGAAACCCTCACGGGGGGAGGCTGCAACCCTCAAGGAAGACCCCACAGAAATACACAGCGAGCCACAATTATACCACTCAGACCAGGAGGTTGAGATTAACAAACAGAAAAAGACAATCCGAATCAAAATTTACCGCACGGTATTGAGATTAGTAGACGTAGGGTTTTTTGAAGATTACTTCAGAAGCCTACTTTTAGGCATCGAGAAACCTACTTTTAGGCATAAAAAATCAAAAACTAGTTTGTATCAGAAAGCTACTGAGTGACAAAATTTAGGAGAAATTATACGAATTTAGGTTTAGATATCCATTAAGGATTTTCGAATCAGATTCCCAAACCACAGTTTGAAAAACGTTTAGCAAAGATGTATAGCACAAAAAAGTTTAAGAAATTATTTTCAAGAAACCATATTATCAGAAGGAACCACCAACAAAAAACACCGAATCAGATTGTCATCATTAGAAAGAATATCCAGAATTTCTCCATAGAAAAAACAAAAGGGTGATACACCTACAACAATCAAATCAGAAATTCAAAATAGAGAAGACAAAATAAAAAAAAACTAATTAGATCATCATCATTTGGTGAGCATCAAGGATTACGACATGCGGACTTTGGGAATCAAGAGAGAGAGGGCGAACGGGCAATACAAAGTCAACCAATCAGAAAAGTTATTGAAAACGAAACCCTGAGATCATGTTGACGCGCAACCTTCTTCACTCGCAACAAGCTTCACATGAGGTGGCGATGTCCTCCGTCCTCCTTGAAGCGTTATTCTCCATGAAGAGTCCTTCGAAAAAACTCCCTCTGCCTCCCTTTCATCCACCTACCATCACTCGAACCAACCCCCACCACCTTCGGGAAGGAAACATCAAGCCACCCTCCATCTGCCGGCTAAGACAGCTTCAGCTGCCGACCACAGTGTCGACGCCAGCAACAAAGGTATCAACGACCATCCACACTCTACAAGGAACTGGATGGTGTAGTAACGCCTCGTCGAGCCCGTCGACGAGTTACCACAGGAGATTCAAGCCCTCAGCAGAACCCTATCTGCCACCTCACGCAGTGTAGATGAAGGAGAGCAGAGGGAACTAAGCTACCAGCCATGAACCCTCATGTGCCATTGCCAACCTCTCCTCACGTGTCGCCACCACGACGCATCCTCGTCACCATCTTTCTCGTCGTCCTCCGTAAACCCCAAGCCACTCACCCACCTCACCTCCCTCCCCCAATCTTGCAGCGCGCCGCCGCACTACACCCTCCCTCCCGTCGCTGCTGCCGCTTGGCATCGCCTGGTCCGTCTGCGTGAACGGGGCGCAGCGCCCCCGCCGATGTGCCGCCTTCGGTCTTGATAACAGTTTGTCTGATTTCTTGGATTTTCTGTTTCTGCTGTTCACTCTTCTTCTTTTCCAATTCTTCTTTTTTTTCTTCTCCTTCTCAAGTGCTTCTTCTAACTGTTTGATATTTTCATCCACAGTTTCTTCAGACACAATTATTTCTTTCTCCTCTTTCCGATCTGCAATCTTTCCGAGCGCTCAAGGATATACTTATCAAGTGTCTGACGACACTTGATTAGTACATCCTGAATTTGTATGACGTCGGTGCCTGTTTTAGCCTTTTCGATAGCGGCATGTGCTGCCTTCAAATCGAACTTGTTCCGCACGTATGCCTCGGCTTCGGCACCTGTGTCATGGAGATCAGAAATCAATTGATCCAGGTGGACAAGCAAAGCCTTTTTCCGGTCTTCCACTTGCTGCCTGGTTCGTGGATCGGGGCTGTCCTCATCAATGCCGAAGATGAGTGAGACTGGATAGAAGAGAAAAGGAATAAATCGAGTGAGCACTGACAATTTCAAACAATTCCAGAAGAGAGACATTGTGATGTACGTCTGCCGCACAATAAATAATCAATTAACAATAATAAATTCCAAGGCCGCACTATTCTACAACAACAAGAATTTCAAACAACCGAAGAAGCAAATAAATACAATTTATTTCTATGATAACTATTGTTGTTCTTTGTCGTCTATGTGATGACGTTCTAATCAAGAGTGAACAGGTACCACCTCAGGCCTGTGTGATCAGATACAACACACAAGAAAGTACGCACAACGCCACAACACAGCAAACGACAGGGTAAGTATGCCAACATCAATCAGCAAACAATTTGTCAGCAATCTTCTTCTTCTTTTCTCTGCGTCATTCCTGGTGTCAATGCGATACCGCACCCGTCTTCACAACTGGCACTACAACTGTCCAGTCAACCGTTCAATCAGTCGTACCACCTTCGTCTTCAAGGTACAACTCTTACTTGGAATCCACCTGCCTGCCACGTGTCATCCCTGGCGTGCCAACATAGCAAATCTGCCACGTCAGCACATCAATGTCCAATCAATCAGTGGTGGGATGCCACGTCTGCAAATGTGTGCTCTTGTCCTTCCCACTTGCCGCTTCCTCGCGTCTTGGTGTGATACCGTCGCTGCTCCAGCCAATCAAGTCAATGCCACGTCAGCCGTACCACCTTCGTCTTCAAGGTACAACTCCTACTTGGCAGCCACCTGCCTGCCACGTGTCATCCCTGGCGTGCCAACATAGCAGATCTGCCACATCAGCACATCAATGTCCAATCAATCAGTGGTGGGATGCCACGTCTGCAAATGTGTGCTCTGGTCCTTCCCACTTGCCGCTTCCTCGCGTCTTGGTGTGATACCGTCGCTGCTCCAACCAATCAAGTCAATGCCACGTTAGCCTATGGAGTCAGTGCCACGTCAGCAGGCTCGCCACGTCAGAAGAGAATCGTATACGACACCTGCCTGCCATGTCAGCAACCAGCCTTGATGTCCAAAGGCCAGGTCAGCATCAGTACTGGACTTGGTTGCGCCTCAGCTGCTAATGCAGCATGAAAATGCCACGTCAGCCATGTCCCGCAACCAAGTCTCTAGACGTGGCACATGATATGCCACGTCAGCGTGGGATCGCAATGCCGCCTCACTATCGCGATCCTGGCTGGTGCGCGGCCACTCTTGATCGCGATCCCGACTGCCACGTCAATGGTCGCGTCGGGATCTGGTCTTCTCGCCAGCGAAGTCTGTGCCACGTCGGCAACACCGGCGGTCTTCGTCATTGTCCACGTCAGATCTCATTGTCATCATATCATACACGCGCGTGTTACTTACCTGGCGCCACTTGGCGCACACCCATCGTCGTCAGGAGTATGCTCCGATACCAATTTGCAATGAACCCAGATCTTGAAGACACTTGTCGACAATGTAAGTCCAAATGAATATCAACCTGCTGATGATTATCAATAATCATAATCGTGCCCAGATAGAATGAGATAGGAGAATCATACATAGACGAAGGAGAGAGGAGGGAGATTAGACTTAGAAGAAGAATACAAGACAAATGCCGACTTCTGCTTCGGGCTCCCTCCTCGATCACCACCTCAAATAATCAATAGTCTGAACACACATCTGAAGTTCTATTACAATGTGCCAGGTGGCACGTCAATTAGTCCTCATCAGCGCACTGGAGCAATGTCGACCTCAAGATAACCAGGTACGTGTCCACGATTACCCCACAATCATGATCTCCTCTTGAGTGACGATGAATCAGAACAGCAATCCCTGTCACGTAGCTCAGCCACGTCAGCAAATGTACATGTGGCAGCAGCCACGTCAGCAGCGACACGTGGCAGCTGCCACGTCAGCATGCCCGGAAGACAATAGCAAGCCAGCCACCATGCCGAGCCAGCATCGCGTCGCCGTAATCACCCACGTGCCAGCGCAAAGCCAGCGTCCAACCAGCATCGCGTCCTCAACGCGTGAAGTCAGCATAGGCGCAAGACTGAATGAATGTCAAAGTCAGGAAGTCAGCGCTTATGTAGCGTTGACGCGGGGTCTGGACCCCGGATGCTGCATCCCTCAGCCGTCCAGATCTCAATGCAAATGATGGGCCAGATTGGCCTGAAACCGAATTCCTTCTGGCCTTCATGCTGTCTGGGTAACTGCGCAAAACAAGTGAGTGTATCCGACCAAGGGCCTGGGCTGGTACCTTTGACCTGACAGTTGACTCAAACTTTTGACTTCCCAAGGGCAGTGTGTGGTCACACGTCGTCTGGGCTCCGTTTCGAGGGCCCAGACTGCTGCAAACATGGGTTACTGCACTTACGTGTTTGTCTGATTTTTCTGTGCGGCCCGAACTCCTACATGCCATTTTTGGTCTGTTCTTTTTTTTTTTTTTTTTTTTTTTTTT